CGAAGTCAACATCAATAATAAATACGCGGTGATTCGTGGAGAACAGATGATGCAGAAAGACAGTTATTACAGGGTGAGTCATGTTTGATATTCACAGCAGATACGAATAAAATAATATTTTAAGTCAAAAACGAAAAAGAGCTCAAGTAAATTTTATGGATTTTATACATTTTTTGGACAAATTTTCTATATTTGTATATACTGAACTTACTATAGTAATTCATGTTAATGGATTTATTGAGAGATAACTTTGGTGAGATTATAATTTCACGTTTTTGGCCATCAAAATCATGAGATATCACACCATAAGACCTCTTCCTGTGGGAATATGAAAAGTTTAAAGTTTATGCGGCTAATTTCGCTTCGATTCAGTCCTTGGAGCAAAACTTTGAAGTGCGTTATTCACCAGTTACCAGTCGAAATGCTCGAACGAGTCAAGAAAAAGTGTACTCAACGGATGAACCAACTGAGACGTGTCTGTTCGCGGCCAACATTTGAAAGAGTTAATTATCACAAAATATTTTTTTCTTCAAATGTAAGGAAAATCGAAATAGATTGTCCTTTACATTTGCCTACTTGTTTTTTATTACAACTTAATAGAAATATGGGCAAGATCAGAAATTGTGATGTTGAAGTTTCTGGCTTAAGATCGGCCCTAGGATCACTTTATCCAGCGCAATTCGAGAAATATTTAATTTAAAATATTTTTATATTCTCGAGTTTTGAGGTTATTATTCTAAAAAGCAGTGGCATTGCAGAAAAAACAACAAATTCACTTTTATGAATATAAACAAATACATGTTGCCTTTATATATAAATTATAATGAAGGAACAGTATATTATATATGTTAGCATATGTGCCTCCCGTCAGGTAAATAGATTGACTGCATAGGTAAATATAATATTTGTAAAATAAATATTGTGTTTGTTTAAGTACTAGTTGGTACATAAAATAAGCGGTAATCAAACGCGAACACGAATGTATGTGAGTGCGCCTAAAAAACTGCCAAGCAAACGCCTTGTGAAGCCAAGCACACACTCAACATGGCGTATACGCGACATGACAGTTTTATGGAGCTGGTCAAACGCAACGTTAAATGACCTGTCTACCGAAAAACAGAAAACAAAAACAACAGAAAAAGGCAATATAACGAGACAGTCAACAAATAACAAGAGACAGGGAAAAAGTAAGCCACAAGAAAATCAAGTAAAATGCAAAGAAAGAAGAAAACAGACAACAACAGCAAAAACAAAGAGACAGCACAAGATAAACCACTGCGAGGCCTTCAGGCATAACACAAAGAGCGCTTTGTGGCTGTGAATGGCATAAACAATGGAAAACCGAGCGAAATCAAAAAGGGAAAAACACAAACTTAAAAGCAGAGTGGCAAACGAAAGGTGAATGAGGCAATGGCGCTTGGTTGGCGGTGGGGAGCGGACTGTTTTACATTTTCATTCATACGATTTAACGTTGAACGGCGGCAAAACGGAAGTAGGAAATGCATTAAAAGGCAATGAGGCGCTTTCTACATGCCATTGAGCGAGGCGAAATGAAAAGACAAAGAATCACAATCAAAAAAAAAAAATAAAATAAAATAAAATAAAAAATAAAAAAAATAAAATAAAAATAAAAATAAAAAAAAATTTTAAACATACGTATGTGGCTAAACGAGCAGCACTCTTTGTTTTTGTTCTTTTTTTCTGCCTTTGTTTTGCTTCATGCTTTACTTTTGCATTCACAAGCACGGTCACAGCGCATTCCTGCTTGTGGTTTTTCCTTTGCGTCTTTCATTTGAGTTTTTTAAACTTTTTTTGTGTGAACGCTTAACAGCTGGGTTGGAGCACTTTTCGTAATTACCCAAGTTCTACTGTGAGTTGGGCAGCCTTCTGAAGATTTTTTTTTTGTTTTCCACTTTCTTTCATCCTTGTCTTGGTGCGCTTATTTATTTATTTTTTACATTTTATTTTTTGCTTTCGACAGTTTATCTTGAGGTTCATTTGCTTGTGTGTGTATCGGTTCATGCTTCGAGTGGCAGGCACATGCATACACACACAAACGAATATATGTATATATGTGTGTATGCGCATGGTTAAATAGGACACGAAGCTCATTGGCCGAACACAGTTATTCCCTGACTTGGCCAACATCGTGACATCGTGGGTTAAATGCCCTGTAGGGAAGTGAGAGTGGATTGCGTGGCTTGCACACTCACAATGTCAGTGGTAAAATGTGTTTAGATGTATTTAATTCTAAGTTGAAAATTTTTGCCAGTTTAATCTGGATTACTTAATGTCAAGCTTTTTAAATTTGTAAATTTGTTTCCCTTTTTTTTATCTAGTTAAAAATATGAGCCGAAATACTACTTTTAAAGATTATAATCCTTGAAAATCTTAAGAACCCTCTTTCAAGGTCAACTACCAAAAGAAAATATATTATTATCAATCAGAGTATTGATAATAATCAGGGTATTGATAATAATCCGGATCATTTTCAATAATCAGAGTATTGATAATAATCGAAGCAGTAGTCAATCCTTTAATATTTGTTAAAATAACGGTTTTCGCAAAAAAATTTTTTTTTTTTGGTAAAAATGTAAACTTCAGAGTGGAATAGAAATTATGAAAAATGTCATTACTTAAAAAAAAATCCATAACTAAGTGAATCGTGTAAAAACTACAAGATCATCTGTCCAGGGCTTTCGAACTTTTCCTCACTGGCTTTGAAAAAAGCGTATCGAGTAAAATGAGTTTAACGTTTTACGAGCCAGTTAAGTTGATTTTTTTACTAATATCTCCAAAACTCATCGCCGGAACAACGTAGAATTTTCATACAGGATTCTTTTTTATTTACAATAATCGAAACGGGGGTTTCAATAGCAACCCTACAAAAGTAGACCATTAGGCATAGCAAACGACGCCATATTTTTTCCTGCACTTCTGACATTTCTCTTCAGTAATGTTTGATATTTCATCATGGAAATATATACGATTCAACAACTTGTCGAAATCATTAAGATTCGCTACCGAAAATCGGAGTGAGTGCCTTCAACTTTAAGAGTACTACCTCCAATTTATAGTCGTCATAATTGTCCAGTCCGATCAGCAGTTGAGCGTTTATTGGAAAAATTTTAATCCAAAGATACAGTAAAATATGTTCCCCCGCCAGTGAGACAAAGAAGTAGCCGTAGTGTCGAGAATATTGCTGCCGCTAGCGCATCAATTGAGGAAGACCCAAATCAGTCTCTCAAACGACGTTCTCAAGCGCTGAGCATCCCTGTGACGTCGTTGTTGCGAATTATGCGAAAAGATCTTTTTTTACATCCATAAAAGATCATATTGATGAAAGAACTGAAGCCGTTTGACCACCAGAAACCTCGTATGTTTGTGAATTGGGCCGAGCAACACTTGAAAATGATCCGGATTTTCATCGAATAATCATCTTCAGCAATGACGCTCATTTCTGGCTGAATGGTTTCGTCAATAAGCAAAATATGCATTATTGGTCAGGTAAAAATCCACACATACTACAGAAAATACAATATCCCGATAAAATTTTGGTTTGATGTGGTTTACTCTACTTCTTTCGTGAGGCAATGTCTACCGCTCAATAATAAACGAATATTTTTGGCCCGAATTGGATGATATGTACTTGGACAATTGTGTTGGTAACACAGGGTAGCATCACAAGCGACACAGCGAATGTCACAATCGATTTACTGAAAATAAAATGTGCTGAACATGTTGTGTCACGAAATGGCCCAGTCAATTGGCCGCCTCGGTCGTACGTTTTGGAGCCGTTAGATTATTTTCTGTGGGGCTACATCAAGTCTATGTTCTATGCCAATAAACCACGGACGATTCATGAACTTCGTACGAATATCGAACGTAAAATTGCAGCAGTATTCGCCAATTTATGCTTGAAACCGTTGAAAATTGGGTTCAGCGTCTGGGCTTCTGCAAGCGTGCCCGTGGTGGCCATGCAGAAGAAATCGGGTCTCATACATAATGTCACCGAGTATACTTTCAAGGGAATAAAGAATTTCATTGATATCTCATACATTTTATTTTTACTTTTTGAAAAACTCGTTATAAGAAAAGTTTTTTTCGACTACCCACTATAAGGAAATAACATCGTAACCGGGATGGACTCGAATTTATAACCGGCTAAGAAGTATTAACTAGGTAACATTCTTAAAATTATTTCAGAAGTGTTTTTTACCTCAGAAAAAAAAAAAAAACACAGTTCTTTATTTTGACAGATTGATACTTGAAGGTATAAGAACGCTTACCTTTGGTTAAATTGGGGATAGGTTAGGTAGATAGGCTGAAGCCATGCATTAGCTTACTTGGACTGCTAGAGTCGATTGTTCATTGTGATGTCCAGAAATCATAGGTTTGGATAAAAAACACGACAAAACGCCTAGAGCTTTCCAAAAATTTATTGAGGTGGCTAATAATAATAATAATTGGCTTCACAAAGCAAACGATTGTAGGACACCACATATATATACATATATATAACTTTCTAACCACAACCAAGTTTCTATCAATTTCAATCGTAATTGTTTCCAAGAACAACTTAAATTTTTGACTAAAATATCGCCGCAGGGCTTGCAGGGTGAGCATACATACAAGAATTATGTGTTCGCGTTTCATGCGTGCTTCGTAGCATACACAGCAGTAAGTACGCGCGCCAGATGCTTCTTGTGTGTGTGTGTGTGTGTGTATACATGTGTTTGTGAATATGTGTTCGCGCCTCAGTACACCCGAACTTGGCATAACATTTTCAATGTACTTAATTTTTCTCTCCTTATACCTACACAAATTTTTCCTGCTTGCAACATACATACATACACACACATTTTCCTTCCCATCAAACGCTTTAAATATTTAAATGTGTGGCATTCCCACAAGCGCAGCGGTCTTGAACGCATTTCAAATTTAATTACATATTATACTTATGAAAATTGGCTGGTATGCATTTGCAATTGATGGTATACCTCGTTTCTTGGCGCTGCGGCTTAAAGTGGCTGCAACATTTTCACCAACAAAATTATGCAATTTCCTTTTAATTGAATTACTTATGGATTAAATGCACTTTTTACACCGCGTAGTTTGACATGCATATATATTTGACTTTATTTTAGTTGATTCTGCTTTACTGCATGCATTCCCCCCTGGCCACCGCACGCAGGCCTTCAATTTGGCGGAGCACTTTTCTTCTGCACTTGATTACACTGGGAATTTCTGTGCATAATTTGCATTTTTCCACAGCCACATTCCGATACATACGCAGGGGCGCACACGAAAATAACGGTACCGCGTTGAGTCCTCTTCCAGCGCACCACCACCGCGATTCAATAGCTCTATAAGCGAGTAACAATTACCTCTACTATACAAATAATGAGAAGTGAAACTTTAAACATTTATTTATTTTTCACTTTTTTCTTCCTGTTTCAACTTTTTTATATTTATTTCCATAACTGTCAGCAGAGTACCGTTGCGCGTCACGTTGCTGTCTGGGGAGCTCCTTTCTGACTGAATTGTCCATTCGTTCCGTGTCGTTGGCAGACTTTCTCAAGACATTTGCGCTTGCTGTCGGCTCTGTGGGTGGCGGGCGGAAAGCTCAAAAGCTCCTCTTCACCCCCTTTCGTTGTGTGTTTTCTTTTGTACCTCTTTTTCGCTTTGCCTCCTCGGCTTTCGGCTCTTGTTTACGTCGGCTCGCTGTAGTTTGGCGCCAAAAATGCTTCCCTACTTTGCTTTGCGTCTCTTCGGTGTTTTGTTTATGTTTGGCTATTACAGCGATGCTTGTTGTTGTTACATGTTGGTGAAAACAAACAGTTTTGGTGCATGCGCACGGCTGCTTTCACAGATGTTATTGGCGTTTGGTTCGGTGTCAATGCACTCGTTTGCGTGTCATTCCGTCATCGTTTCACCAAGCACTGCTAACTTTTATTTGCTTGTTTTTGTTTTTGTTGTGGTGTTTTTAAAAATAACAACTATGCGATACTAATTTTAAATCGCATGCATAATGGACAATTATGATGATAATAAAGTGTGTATGTGCCTTCCAATGAAACGTTCTCCAGCACTACACTTAGGAGGGTCAGAGTACAAAATGAGGTTATATTTATGTGTGTGCTGAAGTCCATTGAGGGTTAAGTTAGTGCTTGATGTATCGTAAAGCGATATAGTAAACTTTAAATCGAGGAAGTCTTTCACTTAGTATTTGAGCTTTGCCGAATGAATTGGTATCTTTCTTCTTCTTCTTTATGGCCGTAAACACCGCTTACGCTCTTATAGCCGAGTTTACAACAGCACACCAGTCGTTCTTCCTTTCTCCATCTGGTCATTCCAATAGAGTGGAGGTCTTTCTCTTCCTTTGTTCCCCCGGCGGATACTGTATCGAATACTTTCATAGCTGGACGGGTTTCGTTGATTCGGACGACATGATTTAGCCAACGTAGTCGCTGTCTCTTAATTCGTTGAAATATGTCAATGGCGTCGTATATCTTGTACAGGTCATCAAATGTGATATTCGCCCTGGCAAAAGACCATAAATCTTCCGTACAATATATTAAATGACTTATAGAGTTGGTCTTTGTTTGTCATCGAGAGAGAACTTAACTTCTTTATTGCCTACTCAATCCGAAGCAGCACCTGTTGGCAAGAGTTATACTGTGTTGGATTTCGAGGATTGAGATTGTCGCTTCAACCTAATGGCCTAATATTCACAAAAAGCCGCGGTCTAACCTTAGCTGCTTAATTACGGGCTAGTTTAAGAAATACTATGACTGGTACTTAGCTTGAAATACATATTGGCACCCTTAATCGTACCAATTTTTTTTTTTTTGAAGCTTCGTCGAACTCGTCGTCTCAGAATCTCCAAGCAACTAGCGATTTTTAAGTGGTTGCAATAAGACTTCAGACCAGTCAGCCGTTAAACGTCTTTTCATAGCTTTAGAAATTTGATAGGCTCTACTTAGCTCTGAGGCCATTAAATACGTCGGTGGATACTGGCCGCTTCATGTTCAACCGTTCTAATCGCACAGGCCACTAGAACGGCGTACACCCTGTCTTTGCCTTATTGGCATATTGGCAACTCTTGATAAGTGCTATTTCCGTCTTTCCTCTGGCCAGCTGCAGCTTAGTTTTCGTGATTCCTTAATTTTTATTGTGGTCACATCACAGAAGTTTTGAATTTGGGAAAGTAATGATCGTTACTTCAAATGTCGTCCGCATAGCCAATTATTTTCGCTTTTTTTGGCTTAAGTCTCTCTATTTGAGTTCTCGTGAGGTGGAACACCTCATCTTATAGTGCAATTAATAGAAATGGACATAAAACGGTACTCCATCTGCCACCACATAGCCGTAAAAGGTTATTATAGCTCCTTTCCATATTGAAATAAGCAACACTACAGTCAATCTAATCTCTATAATCAAGCTTCAGTACAAACTATATTTATTTTATGCTAATTATTCTCAATACTCTAGATATAGCTCTGAGAACTTTCGACGCAGTACTCGCCGAGGGAAGCACAGGAAGATCTTCACTCTGTTGGAAAGACCACGTAAGACGGGGCCTGGTTACACTTGAAATCTCCAATTGGCGCCAAACAGTGAAAGAACGAGTGTCGCGCTGTTGCAAACTCGGCTATAACCGCGTAAGCAGTGTCTACGCCAATAAAGTAGAAGATTCTCAATAATCTAGTTTAAACTTTTGTTTCTAAATAAAACAATCTCATTATGCCGATCTTTTTTAATACATATTCTTTTCATACATTTTCTTTCATAAACTTCTTAGGACTACCAAAGTTTTATTATGACTACTAATCAATTAATTAAATAAAATAGAAAAAAAAACCAAAAATTAGACCCATTGATCAAATAAGAATATGACATTTACGAAATTTAAATATGAATAAAGCTTACACAAAGCACCCGGCATTAAATGTTGGAAGCCGTAAAAGCGAATTAAATTGCTGCTTCCACTATGTTCGCAAATATTCATATTTGTCTACATATCTACATATGTAAATTTGTATGTAAATGTAAATAATCGTCAGCGTTATGAACAAGCGTATGAAAATAAAATTTGAGCGTTAAAAATAAACGAAAACAAAAGTCACATCGAAGGGTCTTTATTTGCCTTTGAAGTTTGTCAGTCAAATGCTCGGCTGTCACCAGCGACACCTCCAAGCGCGCTTTGATGTAAGGCGGTCGTTAACTCGGCGGACGACCAGCTGTTTGTTTATGCCGCAAAAAATTATGCAAATAACAGTTTATAATAGATAAAATCGCTTACTTTTTCATTAATATACACAAATGCAAATACAAATTTGTCAGCACACTCACAGGCAAACATACAAACATGTGGATGCGTCAAACTTTCCTTGTTACGGTGATATTCATATTCAAATTTCTTTGGAGAAAATAAAGTGGCGCGGCGAAAGGTGCTGCTGGCAAACACATTTGCGTCTTCTGTGACTCTGCAACGGTATATGATAATAAAATTATTAAATTGCATAAATTTTGTTTCAATGGTTCCTCGGCTTAAGCGCTTATTTCTTAGTAAGTAGTTCGAGTTTTTGATAATTTTTCGGTTATTGGGCGAATTTCTGCAAATACTCAAATCAGTTTTTTCACATTCTTCAGAGAGTTCGCAATAGAAAACGTTGAAACGCGTAGCGGTAATTAGAGAAAATGTTTATCAGACAATTGGTGTGTAAATAATGTTGAATAGAATTTAGTTGAAACGTGTGATGATGGTGTAATTAATTGGAACTGAGAGATTCTTTTTCTTTAATCGCATAGACACCGCTTACGAGGTTATAGCCGCGTTTATACCAGCGACCTTTTTTAGTACATATTAGCTCGTCAGTCATTTCAATTTGACGCCAATTAGAGATACCAAGTGCAGCCAGGTCCTACTCCACTTGAACTCTCCAACGGAGTAGGGGTCTTCCTCTGCTTCATCCGGCGGGTATTGAATCGAAAACCTTCAAAGCTGGAGTGTTCTTTTACATACGGACAAAATGGCATTGCCAGCGCGCCGCTGTCTTTTAATTCGCTGAACTATGCCAATGCCGTTGTATAACTCAGACAGCTCATCGTTCTTTCGAATGCGATATTCGACGTTGCCAATCCGCAAGGGATTTTTCTCTCGAAAACTCGTAACGTCGACTCATCAGACGTTATTGTCGTCCATACCTTCGCATCATATAGCAGGCCGGGAACAGTGAGTGACTTTTAAAGTTTGGTCTTGGTTCGTCGAGAGAGGACTTTACTTCTCAATTGCCTACTCAGTCTGAAGTAGCCCCCATTTCTGCGGCTTGTTAATACTGATGACAAAATAAACGAAATTATCTACGAATTCGAAGCTATTACTGTGAACAGTGACGTGTGAGTCAAGTCGCGAATGCGACAACTGTTTGATCGAAAGTATTTCGTCTTGACCTTGTTCACTACTAGACCCATTTGCTTTGCTTCCTTATCCAGTCGGGAGAAAGCAGAATTAACGGCGCGCATGAAGAGGCCAATGAAATCTACATATATCATCGGCATATGCCAGCAGCTGTACACTCTTATGAAAGTTGTATCTGCTCGAATAAGTTATGCAACTCGAATTATTTTCTCCAACAGCAGATTGAAGAAGTCGTACGATAGGGAGTCGCCTTGTCTGAAGCTTTTGGTGTTGCTCAACGTCAGTTTACACAGCCGTATTAACATCAGCTTTAAAATCGACAAAGAGGTGATGTGAGTCGATCCTCTTTTCACGGGCCTTTTCCACGATTTGGCGAATGGTGAAAATCTATTCAATTGTTGATTTCCGACGCCTAAAGCCACACTGATACGGTTCGATCAGTTTGCTGACGATGGGATTCGGTTTTTCACACAGTATGCTCGGTTAAACCTAATATGGGATGTTTTGGGGGTTTATCCCACGGTAGTTGGCGCAGATTGTGGGGTCGCCCTTTTTGCGGATTGGGCAGAGCACACCTAAATTTCAATCGTCGGAGAGCTTTCGTCCGACCATATTCTACAAAGAAGCTCATGTATGCTCCTTATCAGTTTCTCGCCATCGTATTTGAATAGGTGCCACATTGTTGTTCTTCAGACGTGTAATTGCTATTCAAACTTCTGCTCCTTAACCATCTCCGTGTGTTATGCTTTCACTGCCATTGAGCAGGCTGGAGAAGTGTGCTCTCCACCATTTTAGTATGCTCTTGGCATTGGTTATTAGATCATCTCTGGGGATTCTACAAGAGTATACTCCGTCAACACCGTTTGGGTAGATCAACTGTCGAGGGAACAGTGTCTCTTTTGGTCCTAAGCAGTTGTTTGTGGCTCCTCCACCATTTCTCAATGAATATGCTTCTAAACAATCCAATATCAATACTAAGCATTTTTTCATTTAATTTTCTTAAAATATTTTCAGATTTGCCTTCTGGTAATTGCGTTTTGCCTCCAACTTGGTATAGCAAAAGTACTAAAGCCAATGAAGCAACAAGATGTTGGGTAAACTTGAACTTAAACACAATTAGACTTCCATTATAACCAACCTAATTATCACATTTAACAGCGCGTGGAATCATCCCGTTGTAGGCACTAGCTTTGACTACGACTACGCAGCAGAAGCTCGGAGATCGCCGCAACGCTATCAAAAGTCCAGTCCAACCACAACTCAGCGACCATTCATACGCTACTGGAATAATTTCATTCGAAATATACGCGTGCCCGTGCCCACGATCAGTTGGAATATGACCAATCCGTTGGTGAATCTCTTCAACGCTGGCTACACGAATGTCATCGACACTCCAGTGGGAAACTATGATCATCGAAACACGAAGCGTAAGCGCAGCAAGAAAACACACGACACGAAATCAAAGCATTCCAAGAAGCACAAATATACGCAAGCACATGATGACGATGGAGATACCTATCAAGCAGTTAGCTATAATGGTTATGCAGCGCCTTACACACACGACTACGATCCACACAAGGTTGTTTACTTTTACGACCCGAGCACTGGTCAATATTACAAAATGCAGACGCCATACGGAAACAGTTACACTTTGTCTGAGCCGCAGAAACAGCAACTGGACGATGCGGAGGAGGAAGAGGAAGAGCAAATAGATGAGTCAGTGGAGCAAGAGGAACCCGAAGTTGCACAAATCGAGCCACCAACGACAGAAGCAGCTGTGGAAAGCAATGAAACCGAAAATGAAGAGACGCCTCAAGCAGGCGACGAGGAAGCTCTTAGCGATGCTGAAGAAGTTTCTGGTGAAGTGGAGCTTATACCAGCGGATGTGGAAAATTTCGATGACTCCGAAGAGGTGCAAACACCAGCAAAACAGTTGGTGGCAGCAACTAAAATGAATAAGCCGAAGCATATTAAAAGTGTCGAAGAATTGCGTAATGCGATTAGCGCTTACATGTTGGATGATCGTTTCAATAGAATGCGGCAGCAGGCGAACACAGCGCAGAGATACAAAATGTTGCGTAATATAGTAAAATCGCAGCCAAAGCAGAAATTTACTCACTACATATTGCGAGAAGTTTAGTTACGTACATGTTTAATTAAATAAAAAATACTATTTATATTTCATTATTAAAGAACGTATTTAACAAAGTAAATGTTGACATGTACTACTTAAAACGGCAGTGACTTTCAATATTTTTTATACATATAAATTAGCTAAAAGTGATTTAAATTAGAAAATCTAGGCTAAACTAGCAACTAAGGCGTATCCACGGGCAGTTCCACATGTTTCACGTGTTCCACGTCGTCGAAGTAGGGATGTATCATGCCATTTTTCGCCGATATTCGTTCATTTGGCTCATAAAGCATCATATTCTGCAAAGAACAACATATGTACATATGTAGTATTTCAAGAAAATAAAATAGCTGCAATATTTTTACCTTAAAGAGATCATAAGCTTCGTGTTTCACAAGCACCTCAGGTATATTCGTTTTTTCCCAACGTGGAAAATTGGCTTTATAATCGGGTAATTGCGTAACACCAGGCCAAACTTTTTCGTCCGGTGTGCCCAAGGTGCGAAATATGCGATATAACTGATCAATTTCACTATCACCGGGAAAAAGTGAACGCTTCATTATCTGCAAGTGAGGGTAATTATATTTTTAACTGATTGGTTACGCTATGCTAATTTTATGTCTAAACTTTTACCCACCATTTCCGCAAATATGCAACCCAAACTCCAAATATCCATACCGGTCGCATAATACTTCGTGCCCAAGAGAATTTCTGGTGCGCGATACCATAGTGTTACCACCTCATGTGTATAAGCGCGCATTGGCATATTGAAGGCACGCGCCAAACCGAAATCTGCCAACTGGAACGCATACGGAAATATAAATATGAAAACAATTTTTAGGATTTTCGGTTATACTTTAATGTTGCCCTCGGTGTCAACTAACAGATTTTGTGGTTTGAGATCACGATGCAGTATGCGATTGGTGTGGCAAAAGCATATAGCATCCAACAGCTGATGCATGTAACTCTATATCAAATCAAACAAGTAAGCAAAGAAAATTTACGCAAATTAGTATATAAAGATTTGAGAATATTTCATAATAAAACAATAATTTTGCGGGTTCAGTTTGTATGGCAGCTGGATTCTATAGTTGCCTTACAAATGTGGTTCCGACAACTGAGCGGTTCCGCGGTTAATTGTCGTGAATAGGAAAAATTTCAAATCGATATCTCAAAAGTAAGGGGCCAGTTCGCCAATATACAGATTTTATAAAACTTTGAAGTGATACTTACGTCACTAAGTAATTACATACACACCTTCACAAGCTTAGGCGTGAATACATCCTTTTTCTTGTCCATAAGTTTTTTCATATCCATATTGAGATATTCAAATACCATGTATAAGCTGGAATCCGCAACCACTATATCGAAGAGTTGCACAATATTATTGTGGGTCAAATCTTTAAGCAGCGAAATCTCACGTATTGCCGTCGATGGAACACCTTCAGTTTCACTAAGAAATAATTAAATTTAATATCACTTTACTATGGCTTCATTAGGCTATTAATTTCTTATTACTCAATAATTCTCCATTCATCACGTTACAGTGAGGGCATGTAATAGAAAGGCACACATTTTTAGTTCAATCAATAAAGCGTAAATAATTAAATTATATACACACAAAGACGTTGCACTCTACACAACCCGACAAAGCCGAATCATGTGGTGCTACGTGTAATAGTTGATAGAAGCGCAGCATCCACATGATACGGGCCTTGTATGGCTGCTTCTTTCATTTAAAGCAACAAACTTTTTTGGCTTCAACTAAAATAAACACGCCAGTCAGCGACACACACCAAGTTTGTAATGTTTGTAATGCGTTTGCTTATTTATCAACACTTCCATGTCAAAGCAATGGGCATTCGATTGCCCAAGGCAAATGACATTCATCAAGGACAACGCACCTGCTACCAATATACGCCGCGCTACTGTATTATTCTCAATGTGCATATGTGTTTGTGTCTTGTCTCTACACCTACGCCAAGGATATAGAAGTACGAACGCAAAAACAGCGGCTATGTTGGTAGCGCGTACTAAACTAAATATAAATAATTGCCAATAATAAACTTCGTCGCTTAATTGGTATATTTGTTGACTCACCTATCTAAACGGATCTTTTTTAGCGCCACATCCCGACCTGTTTTCTTGTCCTTTGCTTTGTAAACGATACCATAAGTACCTTCACCAATTTTTTGCATTTTCTTAAAGTCGCCCACCTCAAGCATTCTGCCGGCCGTCACTACTTCGAAACAAGTCTCAAAAGCAATAACATTTATTAGATAAGTTAGCGATTTTTATTTATCTTCACCGTGCTAATTAATTATAAGTAATAATATAAACTACAATAATAAACTGCTTAGTGTCAAGCGAAAATGCACAAAACGAAAATAATTGTCAATGGTAAACGCGCCGCAAAAGCGCGCGGCTCTCTCAACAAATAACACGCTAGATGGCGCAGCACGAGTCGCGTTGCCAAACACACGTCATATTAATTGCGGTACCATATTCTAGTAAGACGTATAATTTCATAATAATTATCGCATAAATAGCAAGAATTATTGAGTTTTTATTTTTCTATTAAATTTCTTTTCTGTTATTACAACGTGCTTTCGTTTTGAAACACTCTTTAAAGTTTGCAAATTACTCAATTATTACTTGAAACTCTCACATAAACAGATCTGGTAATTTAAATAAGTGCAACAGTCTGGCAAACTTGCAGTAGCGGTTGTTTATTTGTGCGCGGAAATTACGATTATCGTTGAAATTAAAGAAAGTGAGTTTATTTATTAAAAGCGAAGTAATTTATTTGTGTTCTTAAGTGTTTAGTGTATAATAAGTGTTTTATGTGTTGTTAAGATATAGGTGCGTGTTAGTATTAGTGCGCTAAAGTGTTTATTAGAAAAAATCAGTGCAAATTCAAAGTGCCTCGGTGAACGGGATTCCGGCGGATGAAGGCGTCAGTAAGAGCGAGGTTAGTATTTTTATATGAAAAGTACATTAAATATTTGCTTAATTTTGTTGAAAGCTGAAACTCTTTTGCATTAAGCAAAACTAGTAGCAATTTATAAACTCTGCTTTAATCTAAAACAGGTTAAGTAGTAACTTCGTTACAAATAAAAAACTATTTAGTTTGGTAGTGGAGTGGAAGTAGGGGAAAGCGCCGACAAGGAGGTAGTAAGTTAAATTTAGCTACGCTTGCATATATTTGTATGTTTTGTTAGAGTTTCAGTAAAAAAAGAAAAAAAAAAAAAAAATAGGAGTTTGGGTGTGCCGTTTATAGAATATTTTTTACTTGAAAAGCGTTTAATATGTATGCTTTCATATAGTCTGTAAATATGTAAGTATAAATATGTGCAGTGACATTTGTGATAAGTTTTTCAAGTAAATATATTACTTTCGCATGAAACCTGAATACTTTTAGTGATGGAGTTATTAAAAATGATGACAATGTGATGCTGCTGTATTAGTTTAGAAAGATCGAATCTATAATGCTTAAAAAATATAAATAAAGTAATTATATTTTTACCACCATTCATAAATTCTTAACTCTACTTCATATAAAATATTTAAATCGATTTTATTAATAATAATCATAAATATTTTATTTTAGGTGATGTTGATAACTGAAGTGAAAATATCCTGAAAGGAGGAATGTAATTTATGGCCGTTGAAAGGTAAAGTACATACATACATACGTGCATATATAGTATGTAATTAATTAGATATTAAGTTTTAACTTTGTTTTTATTTTGATTACAAAATTTTTTCCATTTAAACTGCATAGAAGCAAGCAATCTGCCTACTTATAATATATGTCTAAGTATATATCGCCACCTAAAATGCAAAATAACATAAAAACGTTTTCGGAAATTCGCAAGGGAAGGTCGAAACACGTAATAAAATGGAACATGAGTGAAGCAAAATTTAAATATTGCTTAAAATTGGGTTATATCTGATAGCAGAACCTTAAAATGTTGGACATATCTACTTTTATGTATGTGATTTGTAATTTGAAGTAGTGAATCGTAATCAATGAAACCCTCAACTTCGAATTTTTTTTATCAACGTTATTTTGCATTTTAGGTGATGATATGTAGAAGGTGTTAATTAGTTATTGCCACCGATTATGTGTTTTTTGATCTGCGGAGAGTTTTTGCGTTGCCCTGGGTGTATTTTAGCAAAGACACAAGCCATTAAAGGGAAACAACACAAATTTGAAGGGTTTTGTGATTATTATTTTTATTTTTATTATTATTCTTTCTCAATTGGTATTCTCTTTTGCTCTCGTTCGCAGCAAACTATATAATTTATTTTTGTCATTATTTTTACTTAACATTATACATATCTCATACATCGACCGATATTTTCGTTCAAAAGTCAACTATAACCTAGAGTACTTGAACAGGTTTGGTTGGATTTGTACGATTTTTGGTCATAAGGTGGCATACTTAAAAGTAATTATTACAGCAAACTTGTTTGTGAAAGATAGATTATTTAATATTTAATTCAAAGATTCCAGATTAGCATCATACAAGATGCGTCCAAAGTAAACAGGAATTTTGAGTTTAGCGCCCCTTGGTGGCGCCATCTATATGACCGCTAGTGCGTTAGAATCCGCAATCTTTATCGATTGTCCAGAGAGAATTTCATATGATATTTCATTTACTGGAAGTGAAGTTATTGCCTTTTAAGTATCATTATGTTTGTGTTATCGGTGCGAAAATGAACTTTGAACAAAGTGCCAGCATTAAATTTTGTTTTAAAATTGCTAAAAATTTTCAATGAGTTTTTGATTTGTGTACTTAAAAGTGAATGAATGAAATATAATTTAAAATTAATATATGTAATTATATGGGAGTAAGCGTGGTTGTGGTTCGATTTCGCCAATTTTCAAACTGTGATATAGGAATAAGAGAAAAATGCTACGTACTAAATTTAATCGACATCGGTCGGTGCGATTTCACCAAAAAGTGGGCGATGACACTACCATAGTCCAATTTTCACACCGGCTAAGAAACCCGCATACCCAAGTTTTATCAAGATATTTCAATTTTTATTAAAGTGGCACTTGCCCCGGACCGGATTTCAATTTTTCTCGTCTTCCTCATCATTTTTATATATATATTCCTATATCCAGCTCGATTAGTTTAAGTTGATACATACAACCGTTAGGTGAACAAAACTTAATACTCTGTAGCAACTGGTTGCAAGAGTATAAAAATGATGTTTGCTCAGTTTTTGCGTCCATTTGCAATTTTAATTCAAATGTTATTATTTTAATTTTTAATTTTTGGCAACTTCTACTTTTCCCAGAACACCAATTTTTTTAATCGCCCACCATCCTGATCTCTGCCTCCCTCTTGCTTTTCTGGTGACTGGTTTCGCATTCATTACTTTTCTTTGATCTCTCGCTCCAGGACTTTAGTTTTGCTGTCATGATAGCCAGGTTTTTTTCAATGAGTCACTTGTCGTATAGGCTGACTTTTCCTCCAATCTACAAAATAACAGTTAGTGAAATCACTGCTCCATTTGTTAATGACCGAAAAAGCAGGTACTTTTTTCAATAGGTATTTTTTCACAGATCTCGTTTAGTTGTTTCGAACTAACAAGTTCGTGGAAAGACTTACACTGGAACAACGTTAGAAATCGTTTAACTTTATTACGAAAATTTATGTGCGCCCATCAGCATTTATTATTGGATAATATTCAACCAAATGTAGTAGTCCGGCCACCAAGATCATCAGGTTTTTGCCTGTGGGTATATACATATAAAGGCTAAAGTCTATGCGAACAATCCCGTTTCGATTTAGATACCAATCGAAATGCTTTAACGAGTCATCGGTAATTGGACTCAACGGAGGGATCATTTGAGACGTGAGGCGGCTAACATTTGAAAGAGAGGATATTCAAGAAATTAATTTCAAACGATGTTCTTGAGAATGATAATAAACATTCCCCATTAAATTTGAAGTTTCTTTGTTTTTCCTTTAAAAAAGTATGGAACCTCGAAATTGATAACCATTTATTACGAACAATTCAAGAAGATCGGCTCGAGTTAAGCTGTTAAAATTATGCATCAAATGTACTGTAACAGATAGTACACCATATCGTATGAGCAACTGAAATCCGTTACCACAACAGTCAGGTCTAAGTAGCTGGCACTAAACATTGCTGTAAATGTGACTGTAACCAAACCCGCATTAGTACCGATTTGTCCGCTTTTTAAATGCCACCAACACTGTCTGAAGCCTTGGCGGACCCAATGAGTTTATTGGTCAAGCTATACATTCTATACCAAATCGATGTAAAAACTTCATACTGCAACTTCAGTACATTACTTTTATTTCCACCGGACAACTATGAAGTCAAAAAATAACTACAACCAATTTTGTTTCGCCTCCATATTAACGTCAAGAGCCACTGACACGAGTTTAGTGTCACTGCTGCGCAAACAAACCAACCAAGACGATATAAACAACAGTTGAAAAAAATGTTGCCATTGCAATGCTCGACAACTTCTGACTTTTCGACTTGAACAAGTGGGAAAACCGAATGAAGCGAAACGTTATCAAAGCAGCAGCAGCGGCAGAAGTAGTAGCAACAGCAGTCTAACTAGCGAAAACAGCAATCTGACCGAAAGTATCTCCGTTCG